AAATTATATAAATGTACAATGTATCTTATACAAGTGACAAAGTAATTGCATATTGAAATTTGGGCTTTACAGTAGATGATAGCCATAATGCTTTCTTACAGGTAAACCGTTTTAAAATATTTGATTGCCAATTGTAAAACTTAATTGAAAATTATATCTTTTTGTCCTTGAGGGTCTGTTTGAATCCATCAATGTGCAGCAGCTTTTTAGTTTCTCAATGTGTTTACACAGGATGGCGGGACCGCACTCCATGTGGCCAGCTTGAACGAGAACACCGGGGTAGCGGAGCTGCTGATTAAACATGGCGCTGATGTGAAGGCGAGGGACAAGGTGAGTACAGACAATTATCTCTTGTGGTTAGGATTAAGGCAATCTGTTGTTGTTTAGAAGTATTTGCTACTAATAGGATATTCCATAATCTTTATTTTAAGCCGTTTGGACCTGGCAGGCATAGGGATTCAATTTATCTTTAGCTGGCCTTTCAAACACTCTAATACAGTTATGACTATGTACTATATATGTATACGTGACAAAGCAATGCCGTTTTGAAGTTTAGGCTTTACAATGTTTGATAGCGTGATGTGCACTGTGCTAATAATGTATAATTGCCAATTGTAAAAGCACTTTCCTCCTTATCTGAAAACTTCATCTTGCTGTGTCCTCCAGGGTGTTTTTGAATCCAACAATGTGTAGCAGATTTGTATGTGTTTACACAGTATGACTGGTCCGCGCTCCATCGGGCCAGCATAAACGTGGAACCTGGGGTAGCGGAGCTGCTGATTAAACATGGAAAGTCAATCATGCTGCCCTTGAGAGTCTATTTTAATACACCAATGTGCAGCAGATTTATAGTTTCTCTGTGTGTTTACGCAGAATGGCTGCACCGCACTCCATGTATATGGGGCCAGTTTGAACGAGAACACTGGGTTAGTGAAGCTGCTGATTGAACATGGCGCTGATGTGGAGGCGAGGGACAACGTGAGTACAGACAATCATCTCTTGTATAGTAAGGATTAAGGGCAATGTGTTGTTATTTAGAAGTATCTGCTGCTAAGAGGATATTCCATAATCTTTATTTTAAGCAGTTTTGACCTTGACAGGCATAGGAATTCAATTTACGTTTAGCTTGCCTGTCAAACACTCTAATGCAGTTATGACTATGTACCATATGTATGTATACGTGACAAAGCAATGCCGTTTTGAGGTTTAGGCTTTACAATGTTTGATAGCCATATTGTTTTTTTAATTTACATGTGTACTTTGCTAATAATGTATACTTGTCAATTGTAAAAGCACTTTCCTCCTTAACTGAAACATTATCTTGCTGTCCTTCAGGATGTATTTGAATCCAACAATGTGTAGCAGATTTGTATGTGTTTACACAGTATGACTGGACCGCGCTCCATCGGGCCAGCATAAACGTGGAACCTGGGGTAGCGGAGCTGCTGATTAAACATGAAAAGTCAATCATGCTGCCCTCGAGAGTCAAGTTTAATACACCAATGTGCAGCAGATTTATTGTTTCTCCCTGTGTTTACACAGTATGGCCGGACCGCTCTCCATATGGCCAGCTGTGAAGGGAACACTGGGGTAGCGGAGTTGCTGATTGAACATGGCGCTGATGTGGAGGCGAAGCGCAGCGTGAGTACAGGCGGTTATCACCTCATGTAGTAAGGATTTAGGGGCAATTAATGGTTGTTGAGAAATATCTGCTAACCTGAAAGTGTTCTCTGATTTCTTACCTTTTGGGGCCCATTAACCACGGCAGGGGTTCAGCTTAGTATGAAAATTATATTAATGTAGAAAGACGAGCGACAACGTGAGTACAGACAATCATCTCTTGTATAGTATTAAAGGCTTAAGGGCAATTTGTTGTTGTTTAGAAGTATCTGCTAATAAGAGGATATGCTATAATCTTTATTTTAAGCCGTACGCGTTGGACCTGACAGGCATAGGGATTCAATTTATCTTTAGCTGGCCTTTCAAACTCTCTAATACAGTAATGACTATGTACCATATGTATGTATACGTAACAAAGCAATGCCGTTTTGAAGTTTAGGCTTTACAATGTTTGATAGCCATATTGATTTTTTTATTTACATGTGTACTTTGCTAATAATGTATAATTGCCAATTGTAAAAGCACTTTCCTCCTTATCTGAAAACTCTATCTTGCTGTCCTCCAGGGTGTTTTTTTTTCAATCCAACAATGTGTAGCAGATTTGTATGTGTTTACACAGTGTGGCTGGACCGCACTGCATCGGGCCAGCATAAACGTGGAACCTGGGGTAGCGGAGCTGCAGATTAAACATGAAAAGTCAATCATGCTGCCCTTGAGAGTCTATTTTAATACACCAATGTGCAGCAAATTTATAGTTTCTCTGTGTGTTTACGCAGAATGGCTGCACCGCACTCCATCTGGCCAGCTTTACCGGGAAGACCGGGGTAGCGGAGTTGCTGATTGAACATGGCGCTGATGTGGAGGCGAAGCACAGCGTGAGTACAGGCGGTTATCACCTAATGTAGTAAGGATTTAGGGGCAATTAATGGTTGTTGAGAAATATCTGCTAACCTGAAAGTGTTCTCTGATTTCTTACCTTTTGGGGCCCATTAACCACGGCAGGGGTTTAGTTAAGTAGGAAAATTATATAAATGTACAATGTATCTTATACAAGTGACAAAGTAATTGCATATTGAAATTTGGGCTTTACAGTAGATGATAGCCATAATGCTTTCTTACAGGTAAACCGTTTTAAAATATTTGATTGCCAATTGTAAAACTTAATTGAAAATTATATCTTTTTGTCCTTGAGGGTCTGTTTGAATCCATCAATGTGCAGCAGCTTTTTAGTTTCTCAATGTGTTTACACAGGATGGCGGGACCGCACTCCATGTGGCCAGCTTGAACGAGAACACCGGGGTAGCGGAGCTGCTGATTAAACATGGCGCTGATGTGAAGACGAGGGACAACGTGAGTACAGACAATAATCTTTTGTATAGTATTAAAGGATTAAGGGCAATTTGTACATGTTGTTGTTTAGAAGTATCTGCTATTAAGAGGATATGCCATAATCTCTATTTTAAGCCGTTTGGACCTGACAGGCATGGGGATTCAATTTATCTTTAGCTGGCCTTTCAAACTCTCTAATACCGTTATGTCTATGTACCATATATATGTATACGTAACAAAGCAATGCCGTTTTGAAGTTTAGGCTTTACAATGTTTGATAGCGTGATGTGCACTGTGCTAATAATGTATAATTGCCAATTGTAAAAGCACCTTCCTCCTTATCTGAAAACTCTATCTTGCTGTCCTCCGGGGTGTTTTTGAATCCAACAATGTGTAGCAGATTTGTATGTGTTTACACAGTATGACTGGACCGCACTGCATCGGGCCAGCATAAACGTGGAACCTGGGGTAGCGGAGCTGCTGATTAAACATGAAAAGTCAATCATGCTGCCCTCGAGAGTCAAGTTTAATACACCAATGTGCAGCAGATTTATTGTTTCTCCCTGTGTTTACACAGTATGGCCGGACCGCTCTCCATATGGCCAGCTGTGAAGGGAACACTGGGGTAGCGGAGTTGCTGATTGAACATGGCGCTGATGTGGAGGCGAAGCACAGCGTGAGTACAGGCGGTCATCACCTCATGTAGTAAGGATTTAGGGACAGTTAATGGTTGTTGAGAAATGTCTGCCAACCTGAAAGTGTCGTCTGATTTCTTACTCTTTGGGGCCCATTAACCACGGCAGGGGTTTAGTTTAGTAGGAAGATTATATTAAATGTGCAATGTATCTTATACAAGTGACAAAGTAATTGCATATTGAAATTTGGGCTTTACAGTAGATGGTAGCCATAATGCTTTCTTACAGGTAAACCGTTCTAAAATATTTGATTGCCAATTGTAAAACTTAAATTGAAAATTATATCTTTCTGTCCTTGAGGGTCTGTTTGAATCCATCAATGTGCAGCAGCTTTTTAGTTTCTCCATGTGTTTACACAGGATGGCCAGACCGCACTCTATGTGGCCAGCGAGCACGGAAACATGGGGGTAGTGGAGCTGCTAATTAAGCATGGCGCTGATGTGAAAACGAGGGACAACGTGAGTACAGACAATCATCTCTTGTATAGTAAGGATTAAGGGCAATTTGTTGTTGTTTAGAAGTATCTTTATTTTAAGCCGTCTGGACCTGACACTGGCATAGGGATTCAATTTACGTTTAGCTGGCCTTTCAAACTCTCGAATACATTAATGACTATGTACCATATGTATGTATACGTGACAAAGAAATGCCGTCTTGAAGTTTAGGCTTAACAATGTTTGATAGCCATATTGTTTTTTGTTATAAAAGCACCTTCCTCCTTATCTGAAAACTCTATATTGCTGTCCTTGAGAGTCTATTTTGAATCCAACAATGTGCAGCAGAATTGTACGTGTTTACACAGAATGGCAGGACCGCACTCCATGTTACAAAAAGGTTATATCGCCAAATTTGTCATATTGTATTTCGTAGCAGTTCTTGGAATCATAAGTCACTTGTTCCACTTGTTAGCTTGCACTGCCTGGACTTTCGATGTACTGTTTCATGTTTATCTAATTACGTTTAATTTGTTCAATTTCGTAACCATGGATTTGCAAATAAAGGTACTATTAAAGGCCTTGTAATTTGAACGGTTTACCTTCTTCTGGCTCTATACACTCCATGCAGCAGTTTATACAGTTTTCTTTGCAACGAACTAGCAAGAATAGGAAAAAACATTGTGTAAAAGTTGTGGTTTCTTTTTCGGATGCCCTCGTACAAAGCTTGGGAGGAAGCCACTGGACTACGTACATGACCAAAATAGACGGCGTTCCTTAAAGGTCAGTAAAGGTTTGAGTGAATGATATCTACATAATGCATGTCTTAGTGTCTCAATGCATGTTGCCGACCACATCCGGACTTATAGAGCCTTTTAACCGAATAAAAGAATGTTCCTGTTGTGTTTTGACATCACGATGAAAGTATTTGATTTGCGATTATGAACAAATAGGATCCAACGTAGTTGATACCAGACTCAACTACTATATATTGAAAGCCCATTATCTGATAATAATTATGTTGCATTTTTGCATTATAACTGTTGAGTGTTTACATCGTGCAGAATCTGGCTACTGATGTTTCCTACCACAAACTGATGAAACAGTCCGGTGGGGAGAAACTCGACAGTTTTAAACTGTGCCTCTGTGGACCACAGGAAGCTGGAAAATCTACTCTAATGGAAAGTCTGCAAACGGTACATGCAAAACTATAACCTTACTCCAATTATGATACTTCCACTTTGTATACGAAATTAGATATCTATAGCACAAAGATACAGATTTGCTTGAATTTACCCTGTAAAGTTTTCTTTTTGTCTGCAGGAATTCATACATAACTTGAAAACTGTTTCTCAACTATATGTACATTCTTTGAAGTTACACGCACATGATTCAAGGCAGTATGACTTTGGGTCAGTCAAAATGTTTAAAAAATATTTAAATCGGTATAAATAAATCTAGAACACTGTTTTATTATACATGTCCTTTATAACAACCCTACCCTGTCACTGATTTACTAAAATAGAGGGTCAAAACTGGAAAGACCTATTACTCTATTAATTACTTAACTATTATAAGCATTTTAACTACTAGTAAATATGTTATAATTTCATACAGGGGTTTTTCTTCGCTTTGGTCCGGGATCGAAGGACTCCAGACAATCAGCCACACGAGCCCACCCCAGGTGTGAATGTGGGAACAACCAACATCCCCGGTGTAGGGCAGGTCAGTGTGTGGGACTTCGCTGGACAGTCAGAGTACGCGGTAACCCACAGCATGTTCATGGATGCAGAGAACACCATCTTCATTGTGCTGTACAACATCATGGACGAGACAAGCAAACAGAAGAGAGAGGTGATTACAATGTACATTAACACTATATACATGACAAAATTATATAATTGTTCTTAATACGATGGTGGCTTAACGACCCACCATTTCATTCCAGGTCCACTGGTGGCTGTGTTTCATCAAGTCCTGCAACACTAAGAGAAAGCCTCACGTGATCCTAGTAGCCAGTCGCGCAGACCAGACTGACAAAGGTACATGTACATGTACTTGTGACGTAATAATACTAAGACAAGTTTAGTAAATTGATTTACGTATAGATATGGGAGTTTTAAGATCGTGTTTCCTTTTAATAATTTGTCTTACATATCTCTTTAAGCCCCTGATCTATTTACGATTTACTAGTATGTTATTCATTGGACAGGACATCAACAAGCATCTGCCATCCTTGAACTGATGACGTCAGAGTTCAAGGATCACATGAACATCTCAGACGAAGTGTTCCTACTTGACTGCAGAAAGACTCGTCAAACTGACATGAGGCGTCTTAAAGACCTGCTGACAAGACTGAAGACACAGCTTCTAGCAGTGAGTCTTGCTGTTTTGTAACAATTTCTGAATTTCAGAATTTGAACTAAAATGTTTGGATACAGACTTGTATCCTTCTGAAACATCCCTACTGTAGAAAATGTCAAACAAGAGTCAGAACCTTTCGAAAAAGATGTGTCTGAATTTGACTACCGAAACGTACGGTGTCTAGATCTGTTCACAAATCCTCATAGTCATTTCTTGTAAAATCAACAACAATTGCAATGCAGCTTAAACTGCCCCCTTTCCTTTTGTAGCATCAGCGAGCCATACCCAAGCTGTGTGCTGAGATCATGAAGTGCCTGCCAAAATGGGCCAAGGAGAAGTGCAGCCCGAAGTGTCCTGTCTTGAAATGGCCAGAATATAAGGAGGCGGCGAAGGAGATCGATCGCTTGATCGATGAGGATTTTCTGAAGACGTATTCACAGTACTTGGATCACCTGGGTGAGGTAAATATACACTTAGCTAATAGGATAATATATATACAGATGTCTTACGTATACATTCTTGCCAATCAGGCCCAGCAACAAAACATACACTATGCTGTAAGTACTTGTTATAATAATTTTAAGACCCAAACACTTCTGAATTATTCTGCAACATTGTTTCAGATATTGTTTGTCTCGCCGCCAAATGCTGACCCCATCATTGTACTGAAGCCCAACTGGCTCTGCACGGATGTCTTCGGCAAAGTCATGGCACCAGAAAACTTTCCCATCCAACGTCTAACAACCATCTACGACGTCGTGACGAAAGAGGAAATCCAGAGAGTGTTCCAAGATGTCGCCAACGTCGATCTGCTAATCACCCTGCTGCAAGAGTTCCAGCTCTGCCACACTTATGACGGACAAGAGTTCATCATCCCCGGGCTGCTGACACAGACCATGCCTCCAGAGAAGTGGCAGCCGACCGCAAACCCCGCCAAGACCGTGTACTTCGGCAAGCAAGTCCAGTGTGCCGACACGACCGACATGTTCTCCTCCGCGTTCTTCCCCCGTGTGCAGACCCGCCTGATGAGGGAACTGAAGAATCGCCCGCTACTGTGGAGAGACGGAGCCAAATGCTTCGACACCAACGTGGAAAGCCTCATCAAGCTCTCCCCAGGAGGCCGTGCCGTCAACATGTGCGTACGAAGCGAGCAGGACGACAAGCCGAGCTGCCGGCAGATGCTCGAGAAGATTGAGAGCATCCTGACCAACGTGCTCGACGAATGCAGCCCAGGCACCAATACCGAGGAGAGGGTGCTCAGCGCTCGTGCACTGAGGGAACACAGAGAGGAAACCTATTCATACAGCATGGATCAGATCAACAAGGCCAAAGCAGAGGACGGCATCGTCCATCACGACATCCTCGGCTTCTCAGAAAACATCGATGACCTCCTGTATGGCGGAAGAGACGACGATGAAGAGCAGCAAGGAGCTGTCGGAAATTCGGTCCAACAGACGTTCGAATTCGTGTCCGGGACTGGTAACGTTGTCATCAGAGCAGGTGATCACGCTCACTTCGACATGGCAAGAATCATGCAAGGTAACCTGGGGCAGCTACAGCTGGAGGAGACTGTCCCTGGCGACATGGGACAGCTACAGTTGGGGGAGACTGTCCCTGGCGACCCGGGACAGCTACAGTTGGGGGAGAATGTCCCTGGTGACATGGGACAGCTACAGTTGGGGGAGACTGTTCCTGGCGACCCGGGACAGCTACAGTTGGGGGAGAATGTCCCCGGTGACATGGGACAGCTACAGTTGGGGGAGGAGACTGTCCCTGGCGACATGGGACAGCTACAGTTGAGGGAGAATGTCCCTGGCGACATGGGACAGCTACAGTTGGGGGAGAATGTCCCTGGCGACCCGGGACAGCTACAGTTGGAGGAGACTGTCCCTGGCGACCTGGGACAGCTACAGTTGGAGGAGACTGTCCCTGGCGACCCGGGACAGCTACAGTTGGAGGAGACTGTCCCTGGCGACCTGGGACAGCTACAGTTGGAAGAAAACGCTCCTAGTGACCTGGAACAGCTACAGTAGACAGAACATTGTACAGCTTGAGTAGGAAGTGCCTTCTAACAGCTATATTTCAAAGACAATCTGTCTGATGTTGACATTAAAATTCTTTTCCCTGGAATGAGACATACGTGTTCCCATCGCCCGACATGTATGGGATTCGCAACACCATCCGATTGAAATGTCTCATTGCCAAATTGGCCAATGGACATGTGCGTGTGACATTTATGCTGTTTGCGTATTAGTAGAACAACCGGTGACCATCATAAATTCATTACTGAAATTATGGTAGAGATAAGATTATCATCTTCATGTGCTTGCTGGGGTTAAGTTGATAGGCATATGTTTAGTCAAGTTTAGTTCAGACAGTGGGTAGTTTCTAAGAACGCGATATATATTATATGATTGGAACCTCAAAGAAAGCATAACGGAAGTTGTGTGTTCAATGTATGTTGTCATTTTCATTCAAATTGAACAATTAAGGAATTTTACAATATGACAATGTTTCCTTCAGAAGTAAATGCAAAAATTCCATATAGTATGATTTACCCATTTAACATTCCTGTGTACATGTATATGCACTAGACGGATTTGATCTTGCATTAAAAAACTTGCCATGAAACCACGTTTTCATCTGTATTTTATTCATTCCTTACATACAGTTTTCTCTGAGAGTAACACAGAAAAGGTGTACAAGCTGTAGCAAACACAAGGACAGTGATTAGAAGCAAAACCTTCGAAACCTTTTGTACATTCAGAGTCACACTGTTGCAGTGAATTATGATAACCCCAAGGAAGAATCCTAGGACCACAACTGTTTGTGGATGACCTACCAAAAAGTACATTAATGAAGACGTTTTCATAACATTGTTTTTTTTTTAATGTGGAAGCCTTTAATAGGGTACCCAGCACAATTATATAAGAGAGTTGACATTGAAATTAGTGATCAAGCAATAATACTGATTTTCACAGTTGGGATTCACAAACTAACATCTAAATAGCCAATCGTCCATAAGTCAAAGATATAGCACAAAAGGAGCGCATCATATAGAAGCAACTTGACTTACTAAAATGATATGAGCAATGGTAGTACTACATGTACTTCTACTCGTGCTGCCTACATGTCAATACAAACTGTCCAGCAAATCGATACGTTTATAATTTTGTACACCATTTTTGTGTAATATAAACAAATGTGCCACAAATGTTACAAAAGTCTGGTCTTCTACTTTCAATGACAGCCATCTTTTACAAACTTATACAGCTCGAACTATCATTTGACCCTAGAAGTCCCTGTGATATTTTGCATTTACGCAAAACTTGTGTGCTATTCAGTTATGCCCCCCTCCCATCCCAAATTGTCTAGCAAGCAACAAAGTCAAAAAGCAAGTAGAAAACAGAAATGACACTTCTTTCATAATTGTTGCTTTCTGGTAACTTTATTATAGATTTCCAACGTAACTGTTTTTATGCAAGTTATCCAGGACAACCAACCCCTTCAATGATACATCAATATTATAATTAGCTCCTGGATATGTAAAAGATAATTGACTTTAAGAGCAGATTACCAGCAATTCACTAGCTAAATACATTCAATCGGTGTGTTTCTACAGTTAGTCAATCAAGCCACTTGTGTATTGAGCACATGTCTATGTTCTTCTAAAACCTTGGGGCAAAAGATATAACCTGCTCGGACCATCTGAGTAGGCAAGAAATGTGGAAACAGTACAAGTGGGTTGTTTCCGTGGGTTTGTGCAGATAGCCTGGGCGTCATCCTTGTTTAGCCTAGCCAAACATTTTTTAAAGCAACCAAATGCAGTTTCCTTGATAGGTACCTGGTACACACAGTGACATAAGCTGTCAAAAACAGTGTTCTAGCCAGCGTCTGTTATTTTGCTGCTAATGATGGACAAAATTTAGCCTGATCCTCCATCTTTCACAGACAAAAATCGGGATGTAAAGACATTGATAGAGGCCATTTAACTAAATTTTGTATACAAGAAAAATTTGTCCCTCAAAATGCATGAAGTAGTGTTCCAGAGGATCAAGATTTCAAAATGTTTCTTGGGAAGCATGCCCTACAAAGGGGATGTTACCTGAAACAAAATGCTGATGACAGAAAAAAATTTAGGGCTGGCTAGAGCATTGGTCAATATCTGGTAGAAATTTACAAAATAGTCACACAGTTGTTGGAAAAAAATGTTTAGCAGGGTACACTTACTCCCCGTGTGCGGCAACAAGTGGAATGATGGTACCCAGGCTACTTTGCATGACACATGGGAAAGAGATACACATTTCTTTAATTCTTCCACCTAACCAGAGCTTTTTAACCGGCCTATTGGTGCAGACATACATGTGAGAGAGCTACAAGCTTGCTACAAACTTTCAGCTGCTTACATCGAGAGCGGTGTCATCCAAAAGAACCTTCATTTTAATATCAATGCTAAATCAATACATAATTTTTACCCAACATTGACCGTGACCATATAGTAAATGCTTGATAGGTAATTCTATTTACAAACTTGGACAGGAACGTCGTGACATCTGGTCGCACTTCCCAGCCTCATGACCACACCCTATCGGCCCAGCTATCCCATGGTGCAGCACTCCCCAGGATTTTTGTTTTTAACGTTTTCCAGTAGAGATACATGTCAACTAGATTTGTGCACTCAGATTCAAGAACAATTTTGGTTTGGTCGTATTTTAAAATTTCCTTCTTGAAACAAAACCTAGGAAGAAATGAAAATATGAGGATGGAAATACGATGTGCCAGCTTTCCACAAATTTCACTTCTTCACATGTTCTGACATAGGAGATGGAAAGTGTAATATACAGACCCTGGCACAAATGTATAAAATATAAGCAACCCCAGTAATGTTAAGTTATTTTTAGCTTTTACAAAAGAAATAACAGTTTGATACCAAAGGAATGCAATTGCTGGCATTGTTCATAACGGCCAATTCTGTTAAGTTTTGGGAGGGCGATTTGAACTTACCAATCTTGGCGTATGTGTGATCCTAAATTGAATTGTACTCTGTTATGGCTTGAGATTCAATAGTAAAAGAAACACAGTAATATAGCCTGCAGCACATGGAATAGCGTGGACCTTCTATCACTACAGAGACAAAACAAACAATACAGTTAAAAACGCCTCCTTTTCCACCTTCCACACTAGGGACATATGCACCCGGGCAGAGTTTTAATAACGTCATTTGGTTTGAACAATTCTGCAGAGGTGATGAACACATTAATGCATATTGAAGACTAACCAAGAGTGAAAATTATAGTCATAAAACTTTTTTCGTGGCCTAAGCACACTTTGGTGTCTCAAAAGCAAACCGTTTTTCGTCTCTTCATCCTTAAAAGTTTCGTACATCCAAAATTTACAATGTGAGACTGATCCATTCATACATGCTCGAAAATTCCCAATGTAAAATGTGTTTTGGTTCTGCCCATTGTAAGCGTGGGAGGAGGGGGGAATAGGGTAGATGGCACATAGTAAATGAAACAATCGTGGTATACATTGGCCATACCAATTTTAACAATTGATTTTCTTTCTCAGAATCAGAAAAAAAAAACACAAAGCAAATAATACCATCAAACTAACCGAGCTATAGCTAGATAGCATTTTTACTTCATTACCACATATAAAAGTTGGCAAATCAATTGCAAAAATTGATGGCCTTACATTTATCATACTGGTATTGATAATTTATGGATATAACACATCCTATGCAATTTCTCTGTGCTGGAAAAGGAGACAGCTAACACACACAGCCCATGCCTCGAGATTTAACTACTACTACTAGTATCTCCTGCCCCCCTCCCCTCATAAATATTACATGTTACATTCTTCAGCAAGGAATCAAGGGTAAAGTAGTTATACAGCAATCTCTGAGATTGAATGGAAGGAAGGCAGTTCACTAGACCACACTCAGCATTTCAAGACGGATTATAAAAGACTTTCTTTTGCCGCAGGGACTGTGTTGAGAAGACTATCCGTTATAACTGTATGTAATTCTCACTGTTAATTTGAATGGGGAACATCTGAAGACTTTGCTTGGATAGAAAATTTAGCAAGACAAACCATGGCAAAAAGCAAGCATGTATTGGCTAACAAAGTCTATGAATTTAGTATTTCAGTGCAAATTCGACCAGAAATTATTTTGGCTGGTCACACATTTTAATCTTACAAAAAAATGTACATGTACATGTCCCCTTCTGTTACCAATGGATTCTTCCACAATCATGTATATCAGAAGAAGTTGGATTGTACCAAAGTACAACAGGGGGTAGTCAAGGATGATTTTGGTATATGGAGTCCTTCAAAATAAACCAAAATCCTTTTGGAAGTTAAAATTATCCTTTGATGGCATTCTTAGTAAGCCAATGAACCTAGGTCTTGCAGAAAGTCTTAACTTTTGGTCCATGAATATCAACTGGAAGTGTAAAAACGGTGTATGCTTAGTCCTACCATTTAATTCCCAGGCAGCTTAATTTACATGTGCGTTAGGACCCTAACGTTAAAAACAAAATTGTGTTCCTAATGTTTTCTTGTATTTCCCTGTATTTTCTAGTATTTTTGAGTAATGAAATTTAAAATCAGAAAATTTCTCTGATGTTCCACAACTTGTACATGGAACATCTCTGGATACATGTACGTACAGTGTACACGTTTGCCAAATTGGGCCAATGGAGATTCTAGGAGCTGTAACAGGGCTTAAAATACCACCTACATATGCAGGTAAATGCAGGTAAAATTGGAGCTGTGCAGGTATTTCTGATGTCTACCTGCACCTAACCTGCACTGGTCCATGTACTGGGTATATGCAGGTTAGTGCAGGTAAATTTGGGGCTGTGCAGGTATTTCTGATGTCTACCTGCACCTAACCTGCACTGGTCCATGTACTGGGTATATGCAGGTAAATGCAGGTAAAATTGGAGCTGTGCAGGTATTTCTGATGTCTACCTGCACCTAACCTGCACTGGTCCATGTACTGGGTATATGCAGGTTAGTGCAGGTAAATTTGGAGCTGTGCAGGTATTTCTTATGTCTACCTGCTCCTAACCTGCACTGGTCCATGTACTGGGTATATGCAGGTTAGTGCAGGTAAAATTGGAGCTGTGCAGGTATTTCTTATGTCTACCTGCTCCTAACCTGCACTGGTCCATGTACTGGGTATATGCAGGTTAGTGCAGGTAAAATTGGAAATGTACAGGTATTTCTGATGTCTACCCTGCACTGGTCCGTTTACTACATTTCTATAGGTGTATTTGGATTTTTTTTATTGTGTATGGACTCGTACCACCTACAAATTTTTTTAACGAAAGTGTAAAACAAATAATGGCAATGGTTTCTGAACAATTTTAGTATGATCCACTTCCTAAATTCTGAGTGGTACAGTTCAAACCTGAATGGTGCAGGTAATTTCCAATAATCATCAATGTATGACCATATTGGTAGGGGGTTATCGTACCTGCATTCGGTAGGCAAAAGTATTTTGAGCCCCACATGTACGGTGTGTATTTTGACAGATTTAATCCCCCTCCACCCGATGTGGTCTAGTGAACCCCTGGGAGAGAGTGCCCGAAGCGGCATGGGCCGGGAGCGAGGCTGGTTCTAGCAGGCACACCCTTCCTTGTTGGTGGGCTGGTCGTTGCTGAGCTGTGTGCCGCGGGGTGACGAGGGTTTGTGTTGGACGCCTGACTCTGCTGCATTCAGGTCCAGGCTGGAGGAAGAATAGATAAAAATGTGAAATACCTTTATTGTACATTCATGCCACGACGGGCTAGGTACAGGTGACTTAACATACACATTACAGACGTATGTAGAAAATTGGAGACAAAAGATACACTACTTGACTTAGACATACATACATAAGGAACATACAAGGGTACTATACTAGGCTAATACAAAGTGTTCTAGTTACTAAGCTAATACAATACAGAGTGGTCAGCTTCTTGCTTTTTTGTACAATGGAAAATGTGGGAAACTGTCAAGTTAACACTGCATAATAACGTTAATGTCAACCCACAGGATAGAGGCAAGTGGTGGGCTGCCATCAAGCTAACACATTCAAACAATTAAAGTTGCCAATTATTTAAGAACATAAAATACATGTATCACTCACCTGCCATCTTGAATATTCTGGTATATCTTCCTTGCTGTGTCAAGGAAAGCCTCTTCAACATTTTCTCCACTAAAGAAGTTGGAAGAAATCATATGATAATCAGACAATCATGTACTGCACATTTGTACATGTGTTTGTTCACATCTTGGAAAAGGTTGAAGTGCAACCCAACCACAGTCAGGGCATATAGGAGTAAAACATTACGACTCAAAAATCACTATCACATCATCATATTTTGCCACTTAGCCAGTGGTCGAAATAGATTTTGGGGTCAACTTGCACTGGTGCAGATGAAAAAAAAAATACTTGCGCCAAAAAAATAGTTGCACCTGCCCAAAGATGAGAGTACACAACCAAAAGTACATCGGATCCTATGCTATAGTTACATGTAGTAACTATAATAGTATCCAATATTTTCTTACACTGCTGTGGGGATAAATGACTACTAGTCTAGTAACCTTATACACCACAGTAAAGTGAGCCTGTACCTCATAATCATCATCCGACAAAGCTTACTTGCACCGGTGCACACCAGTGAAAAATTAGTTGCACAGCACCAAATTCAATTGCACCAAATTGCAAACAGAGGGGTATTTCGACCCCTGTTAGTACAACTGTAGTGTTGTCTAACTTGGTGTATGAATTATCTGCTGTAAGTACTATATCTGTACTTCCTTATGTATCTTTGGCTGGTTTGAATAGTTCTGTTTACCATGGAAAATGAGAGTGGAGAGAAATTATTATTAATAATACTCACGTTTTTGCACTGGCTTCTAGGAATAGCAAACCTATATTGACAGGAGAAAAAAATATTTTTCATTAAGCGAAATTAATACAAATCTGTACTGTACTGGAAATATCACACAGATACAGGTAAGAAAAGCTGGTATTCAAACCCAGAATGGACATACTGAGAATACAGTATAGATTCTAAGCCTTCACCAGTTAATGGTTAGACCCCACTCTCTCTATTTTTATTATGCATAATGGTCAGAGCGGTTAGCTCAGAACCAAGGGGCCTGGGTTCGATCCCCTGACATACTTGATGTTGCACCCTTGGGAAAGGCACTTAACATGACTACATGTAAATCCTTGTATGGTGGAGCAGGGGTCGAAATACACTTTAAGATCAACTTGCACTGGTGCAGATGAAAAAAAATTACTAAAATAAAAGTGCTTACACCCCCCCCCCAAATAATAGGTACACAACCAAAAGTACATGTAGTAACTATATTATTATAGTATCCACTTTGTAGTCTAGCTAATGACCAAATCAAGTGATTCAAAGCAAAACATTTTTTTCTGTAATGCCCATTACTAGCTCATATTTCCAACACAATATGTGTTCCTAAATATAATTTATGTCCAAAAGGGAGATAGATGATAAATTATTTTTGTTACAGGTAAGATGACTTATGTAAATCTATGAGTAGTAACACTGTGGATAAAGCTTACTTGCACCGGTGCACACCAGCACAAAATTATTTGCACAGCACCAAACTTACTTGCACCAACTTGCACACAGAGGGATATTTCGACCCCTGTGGAGTAACACCCATCAGGTCTCTCGGCTAATCTGTTTAAAGCATGTCCTTACACTGATGAGAACACTTGTGTTGCCATTTGCCTTTAAGACTTAGAGCCGTACATTTTCCCATCTTACCGTTTTCATCAGCAAACTGCTTGGCTTCCTCGTACGTTACATCACGCTGTGCCTCAAGGTCACATTTGTTGCCAATTAGAAATATAACCTGTGGGGAAACAAAGTGCAAAAAAATTGATTTCATTCAAATATATTATTAAATGCATGTCAACTACATGTAATAGTTAATATGAAGAAAGCAGCATTGGTATTACTTCTGGGTATGGAAGTATTGTTTTGGGTGGCCGAGTAGGTGGCTTTGTGTGTTTGTTCCTCTGGACAGAGCATACATTTACTTCCAAGAAGTTTGAAAGCTCTGATTTTTCATTGAGAAGGCCACACCAATTTAATTTCTTGCACTGCATTAAGATATGGAATGACTGTAACAACTAGGAAGAAAAGGCCTTTTTTCAACTGTTCAGGGCAAAATATGAGCATTTTGCAGTTGATTCTGAATTTTCATTTTTATTTGCAAATCAGAAAAAAATGAAGCGGCAAACCCGTTAACCAAGAAATTAAATGAGTGTGGCCCCAGTTCAGAATTACACAAAAGGAAAATGGGATATCTGTCAGATTTGAACTTAAGTCATCAATTTTGAATGATGTAATAACAACATGGATGTACTTAAACTCTACACTTTGTGTGAGAGGTCACATGACCTCCTTACCGTGTTGGGATTGGTCAGGTTCCTGGCGTCTGTCAGCCAGCTGCTCAAATGGTTGTATGTACTTCGTCTGTAACAAGAAATCTGCATATAACCTTTGAAATGCATGCACATTGAATGTCAGTCGTTATATATTGTTGCTAGCGGTAAGTCAAATGGTCACACGAATCTATTACTTATGTACAAGACAGTCAAACAAGCAAGAACAAAAAAACTAAAATATTGTATCCATATGCCAAAAAAGCAGTTACTCAAGCAACTGGATATGATTTTGCGTATCAATCAATAGTTTGTGATTATAAACCTGCATTTCTCCTCTGGTCTCTCAGTCACTGACAAAAGGTAGGTGGATACTACCTGAAATGTCTGACCGTTTCCAAAATCATGTCCAGTTGCTTGAGTAACTGCGTGCTTTTAGGCGTATCTTATTACCTGGATGTCTAACCTTCACAGACGTATAATTGTATCCATAAAAACTTGAACTTCACTTTCTTTTGTTAGTCATAATGAAGATGCAATAATTAGAGAGAAAATTATCACATTTTTGTACATCATACACCCTTCCCCCACTACACTATAGCCCGTTCCTAACTGAAGCTGTGTGGGTGACCTCTGACCTTGTGATGTCATACACCATCAGGGCACCTGCTGCACCTCTGTAATAACTCCGGGTTACCGCCCTGGAAACAACAGGAAAAACAAGGGTTATCACAGAATCAGGGCTTGAAATATCACCCCCCTATGTAGGTTAGTGCAGGTTATATCGGAGCTGTGAAGGTATTTTTTGCATGTGGATCTTTCTTCTCTGCACTTGACTGTTACCACGTACATGTATATATAAAGTATACAAGAAATACATGTTACTGCTATGTGGTTTCTCAACAGTTTTTAGTCTGATCCATATACTTCCTAAATTCTGAGTGGTGCAGGTAAAATTAGTCTGGTGTAGGTTTGTTTAAAAAAATTGAGCCCTGGATATACATGTATAAACTTCAATATAATTAAGATGAATAATTTCAAAAATAAAACACCTTTTTTACCTAGTTATTTCATGTCAATGTGTATCCTAGCTTGAAAGTCTATTTGTGTTAATCAAATTTATTTCAAAGCACACAATAAATTCTGACGTCTCATCTATATTGTGAGTTGGAATTTTCAGTTTTTGTTTGAGCCATTTTTTCTTCCAAAAATCTTTCGTTTCGTAAAACCTATATTTGAATCTTCTTTGAACAGTAGAGACAGCATTTTCTTTTGATCACCAAAGGCAGAACATGTGGTTATGACATGCGCTTTGATCGACAAAGGATGAACAAAATGTATTAGATAAGGTCAGCAGAAAATAGAACACAGTATACATATCTACTCAACACTAAACGCCAGAGGCACAACTGACATTAAGTGTAGGGTATTATACATGTGTGATATTTGATTTGGATATTTGTTTAAATGTTGCACACAATTACATGTACATTTGTACTGAAGCCTCTGGCATATCTCTCTCTCATCAAAGAAAAAAACCACCGGATGTTTGTCAGATTTGATTAGTTGGCTTCCAATTGGATGTGGCTTGAAGTTAGAACCAATTTCCTGAAGACAACATTTGTTGCTTTTTCTAATATAGTGAGAAAGGTTAATCAGTTTTGGTCAGAATACCGGTATGTGCAACCGCACCATTTCAAAACTACAAAGCTCATCCAAAATGATATTACTAGATGCTTTAGAACATCTGATGTTGTTGAGCTGGGACACATCTGGTCTTGAGGGAACGTTATGTTTCTCTTATGTAAGAAAAGAGCTATATTTTATGTAAGACTATTGATATGTATTGGCCTCTGGCGTTTTTACAGTTTTCTATGAATAAATGTGGAAGAAATGAGGAAGAAAGAGGGGAAGGCAATGGAAAAGATGGGAGCTGGCAATGGACAGATACAGCTGTCACACTAAATGTTTAGAAGAACAGAAAGGTGAAGAAAACTGGTTGTCAGATCATCTGTAGCGCCCCAACATTCCAATAAATTGTAAGGGATAGATGAGATGAGAGAGAAGTTGATTTGATACTAATGGGGGATAAAAGAAGCACTGTAAATCTGAATAAGTCCCTTTGGATATTGAGGGCTCTCCCTAAGCAATAATGTTGTTCCTATCCCATAGTCTTACCTGAAGCGCTCCTGGCCTGCTGTGTCCCAGATCTGCAGTTTGATCTTCTGGCCGGAGACCTCGATGATGCGGGTTCCAAACTCCACACCGATGGTGTGTGGGCAGTCTGCCATGACTACAGCCAGGCCAACAAGGAAAAGAATCATCATCATCATGAAGAAAAATGTCCAGATTATGCAAGATGACTTTGTACAAAATGACTATAAACTGGTGGACGTCCCAACTACTAAGTACCTACATTTTGTGATACCAGCCCAGAAGAGAACAAGAAATAGCCATGCCTTCAAGTACCAGAGTTATCAACCAAGGATTGAGGTGTTCAAGAATTCATTCTTTCCTGTAACTATCGCAGAGTGGAACTCGCTGTCACCAAGTACAGTAGGGGCATTGTCATTAGATAGCTATAAACAATGTTTAGAGTTGGATGATCCAACTCTCCGATGTCCAAGGGTTAGGTGTAACAAGTCGATCGGTGTAATGTAGCCAGCTGCCGCCGCGCCGTGTGCCTGCAAAGCTGGTGTGTTACGCCAAAGGCGGTTATACCGGCTATACAGATACAGATCATCTATCAAGCTAGCTAGTACAGATTTCACTCCACATAACCCTGTCAAGTATGCTGCTAATTTTCTACGTTATCATATTTGATTCCAGTGATTTGATTCAATTCAGAACCTAAATCCTTCTTGTTGCAAATCAGAACAAAATGAAGCTATCAATTCCAAGAAATTGGTGCGGCAAAGATATTGATGAAAAGGGAAAATATAACTTACACTTTTTCTCCGTAAATTGATGAAGCAGACAGGATTTCCCCACACCCATGTCCCCTGGAAAGGTATGAATTATTTCAATATACTAGATATAACGTTGAAATGAAAAATAGGTACTGATTTGATTACATGAATTATAACTACATGTACTATAAGACAACATTTCATATCTATATCAATCTTTGACTTTGAAAGACTATTATGGCTTACATGTATATATAGGGCTCATTCAGTCTAGTTGTACTGAATGATACAATTCACAAATGGCAAAATTTATGATAGAAAAAAGGCATTCCATGACAATTCTAGCATCCATTTTCCAATATTCTGCAACTAATCTTTGTAGATGTGTAACAGTATGGTGGCAAAGATATTTTTGGACAAAAATTGATGTCATGCGAATGCCATCCAATATACACATAGAAATGAAGACATATTCTTACACATACAGGCATACACATGTTGGTTGAACAAGTATCTTGCTTGATTGACAGCCGAGAGAGCTGTTAGTGTTACAGAATCTAGTGCAGCCACTTAAAACATCACAAGAGCATGTCAGAATGTGCATGCAGCACATGTACATGTACATGTACTCACCGATAATGATGTACTTGAAAATATAGGAATAGTTGTACGGACCCGCTGCCATGGTTGCAGCACCTGAAGATGGTGAAAAAAATTCTTTAGGTATTTTTGTACATATCAAAGTTAATGTTTAATAGTCTGCAGGATATTCTTTTCTTACAACTTACTTACAAGTGTCAGAAAAATAATAAAATCTTTGTTGTAGGACTTGTTTAAGCTTTTGAAGTTAGTTCCCATGTCAGATTCAAGCTCAGAAGATGAGCAGTAAGAATTCGAAGTAGGTTTTATTTTATATGGTGCACCCAAAAAATTTTTTGTGCGCCTAATTTTTTAGGTTGGGTGTACCAGTGCACCTATTCCCAAAAATGAATTTCGAGGCCTGACATGCAGTGTAAACAGTGGTAGAAATATGTTTTGTAATGTTCTGAAATATTGCAGAATGTCAAAATTTTGTTCTGCAATTCAAAACAAAAATCTGTACCTAAGCTTGTGGCATTAGCAAAATTGAATATGGGCAAACATTTTGCAAACAATTTTAAAAAAATACATGATAAATTACTACGTAGTAGTAATTGGTATATAAAGTCAGTGGTGAACATAAAAGCTGTCACAGTCTGATTGAAAATTCCATAACATCAAAATCGTACAATGACCTACAATGACCTACATAAAAAAAATGGAAAACGTTTCTACTTAGGGCTACAGCTTCAAAATTAATCTACATGTACATCTTATTTTAATTGCACACTTTTGCACATTAGCTTTCATACACGTCAATAATATTGGTACTGTAATTCTGAAACAGAGTGGCAAATAAAATTTACATTCACTAATGATGACCTACAGACCACAAACTGTTTTATGCTTATGAAATAAAACTGCCTTTAAATAGGGTACATTCTGTAATTTATCTAGGAGTGAATGGGACCAATGCTTGAAGTTGTATATATGTTACGATGTATCCCAGAGACACAAGGACTACTGCCAAACTGGCTACACTCCAGAAGTTTTCTGGGTGCTAACAGGACAGGCTGACAAGCACTGATTAAGAGACCAGGGCTGGAAATACTGGGTGCATGTGCACCTTATTAGTGCACCCAAATTTGGAGCTGTGCACCCAATATTTTTCTATGGGTGCACCAGTACTAGTGAACCCAAATATTTTCTTAGGTTTACGTATGTAAAGATGTTAAGTGTATAGTAGTATACAGCATATTCTTAATATCTAAGGGTCAATAAAATATTTTTATTATTATTATTGTACATTTATTCAGAAATGAAACAATTAGTTTTTGCTGACATTCTACTTATATGGTGCACCCAAAAACTTTTTGTGCACCCAATTATTTAGGTTGGGTGTACCTGTGCACCTATTCCCAAAAATGAATTTCGAGCCCTGCAGACTGACAAAACTATCAATTTTCAATTCATTTTATTCTATGCTAATCTCATAGAAGATCTTCTAGTAGCCAAAGTAGTATCCAGTTGGCATTATACAGCAGTCTACTGGACAGTGACCAACTGTCTTGCTTATTATTAGGCAAGTGTATTGACTACCAAAAGATTAGCCTTTTTGGCAAACTGTTTCTAGGGCCACTTCCTCGGATCTAGGGCCATAATCCACTAACTGGGTCTGGCATCCAGGCTACCAAAATATCTGCTTGGAGATTATTATTCTGAATCTTTAATATGCAGCAAATTCTGCAGCTCACTGGACAAAAACAATGTTCTTGAGCACAACTTTTTAGAACTTCTAGTAGTACCTTTAAGCTTGTTGTAGACACAGCCTTTACTTTGTCATGCCATTTTGAGTTGACACACTGACACTCACTGGTCAACAATTAATAAGGTAGCAGGGGGCGTTGTCTTAACAGTCACTTTGTGGTGTGATACACCCTTCTTTTTAATTTAAAGCTGCATTATGTAACATTAGGATGATAGAAAAAGTAAATTTTCTGGTCATTTCTTTACAAAGTTGAGCCAATCCTACTCCATTGCAAATAAGTGCCATTCAGGAAGTGGAGGTGCCAAAATATGACACCTTACAAGTGTGTTTAAAAGCTGCAGACAAGCTGTCAGCCATGTTTGTTTACATTCTGGTAGTTTGTGGTGTCACCACAAACTGGATGCACTTTGTCTGGGCTGTTTTAGTGCCAACCACAAGTGTTAGAAATGTAAAGATTATAAAATAAATTGCAGAAATATTTTGAAAAGTCAAATTAAATTACTACAATCACATTGATATTTCTAAAAATGAATTTAATTTTTGGTGAAAAAAAATTGTTACATAATGCCCAAAGCTATCATAATATCTAAAGATGTAACTAAAGACTGGATCAGGCTTTAATACAACAAAATTGCATAATGTACATTTGTACGTACATTTATCCCCGGAAAAGGATAAAAGGCCAACAAAGTTAAACCTTCAAAATCCTAGGCTAAAGCAATAAATGGAGATATATTTAGGAATAACTGAGCCATTCTTACATCACGGCACATAATACTTTATTACTAAATTTTGAATCTTTATACACTACTTTTTGTACATCAAAGATAATAGATTGTGGTCAAATTTTTTGACCACCATGAGCAGCAAAATTCTGCCAAGTGACAGAAAGACGGGCACTGGCTAGAACACTACAGGGTGAAAATGTCAAAAATTTGGCATTAAGTTGAATGACTCTAATTAACTTGTAATGAAGATTTCTACTTTTCAATATATGGAAACTTGGATTATTAAACTGTCAAACTGCTGTGAACAGTTTTGATGATACGAAAATGTCACACACATAGATTTTCATTTTCACATTAATATACTAACTGTACAGGTATGATACCGTTATTGTACCCCATAATCACTCCACTGAAAAATGTGCATGATACCCTAGTTATGACATACTCATTATCATATAATCAATAACGCACAGCCCTGCGTTATGATTTTCTGGTAACGATTGATCCTATTTATATAACTGTTTCAAATGGAAAATCCTATAGCTAACAGGGTTTGAAATACATGTACCACAGGTCTACATATGCAGGTTAGTGCAGGTAAAATTGGGGCTGTGCAGGTATTTCTGATGTCTACCTGCACCTAACCTGCACTGGTCCATGTACTGGGTATATGCAGGTTAGTGCAGGTAAAATTGGAGCTGTGCAGGTATTTCTGATGTCTACCTGCACCTAACCCGCACTGGTCCATGTACTGGGTATATGCAGATTAGTGCAGGTAAAATTGGAGCTGTGCAGGTATTTCTGATGTCTACCTGCACCTAATAACATGCACTGGTCCATGTACTGGGTTTATATACATGTCAAATGTAGCGTGTAGGTGTACATGTATATAATATAAACCCAGTACATGGACCAGTGCAGGTTAGGTGCAGGTAGACATCAGAAATACCTGCACAGCTCCTACTTTACCTGTACTAACCTGCATATACCCAGTACATGGACCAGTGCAGGTTAGGTGCAAGTAGACATCAGAAATACCTGCACAGCTCCAATTTTATTTCGAGCCCTGGAGGCCAATTTATTACGGTCCAGCTACTGAAGTGAGATATTGAAAAGCATCCATCTTAACATCTACTTCAATACCTGGAAGCATCCATTTTAATAAGTAGTAAGTACTCTGTCTGGAACGTACATGTACTATACATGTAATTCCTATCTGATGACCTCTAGACTCTGTTCAAAGGATTCAAAAGTGTTTCAAATAAGATCAAATAAATTACCAGGGGAGCAACATACATGTACAATCTTACAGAATATATATCTAATGTTTGAGACCTTCTTAGAAGGATTAGAATGCAAAAAGTAATTAACAGTTTGAATTTCATTTTGCTGCAAGTAACCTACATTTATAGCTAGTCATGGTACATGTTACATTGAACTTTGTACTATGCCCCCCCCCCATGTCAATATGGGTCAGTCCAGTCAGACTCAGACATACCTTTTGTATCAGAACATTTTAAAGACATTTTGAGTGACCAGATGACAGAAGCAAGTTAAGAAATGAACACCAATGCTCTGTATTTGTATTTGTATGTTTTGTTTCAAAAACTCCAGGAAGAATAGCCTTTGTATAATAGTACTATAATAACAGACTATATATATCTTAGACATTGATTTTGAAAACATGAAAATTATTATATCATTATTATTACGATGGACGAACATCATCATTATATGATTATCATATACAAATAATGACATTATTTTGAATAGTTCAAAAGTGAACAATAAATAAAAACATTAATCAAATGTACCTGAGGTTATAAAAAATATTTTGCAGCTGATACTTTGCAATTTCAACTACACACTTTTGACTGTGTGGCCCTAAACAAAACTTGACATAAGTGACATAACTGAATGTTCCATTGAAAGACAGGCCAGGACATACAGTACCACCTGCATACTACTAGCATGTAGGTTAATGCAGGTAAAATTGGAGCTGTGCAGGTATTTCTATCTGAATCTGATGTCTACCTGCACCTAACCTGCACTGGTCCATGTACTGGGTATATGAAGGTTAGTGCAGGTAAAATTGGAGCTGTGCAGGTATTTCTGATGTCTACCTGCACCTAACCTGCACTGGTCCATGTACTAGGTATATGCAGGTTAGTGCAGGTAAAATTGGAGCTGTGCAGGTATTTCTGATGTCTACATGTACCTAACCTCAGCTGCCTAACCTGCACTGGTACATGTATTGGGCACATGTGGATTTTTATTTATGTATTGATTGGTATAACCTACATTTTCAATGAAATGTAACTTGGCAATGGTTTCTTAACAGTTTTAGTGTGATTTACAATTCCTAACTTGTGAGTGGTGCAGGTAAAATTTGTCTGGTGCAGGTAATTTCCAATGTTACATGTACCTACACCAGTGCAGGTATGGAGAAATAAAGTACTGTATTTCAAGCCCCGAAAAAGGTCCTCATCCACAACAAAGGGATGCTGGGATTGGCAGATGACTCATCTCTCCAAGCTCAACCCTGATTGGCTAAAACCAAACAAGGATGACTTTGGCCATCTCTGACTCGGATTAATTTAATATTTGATGACTTATGTACACAAATGAGATGTCACCCTGGTGGTAAAATAAATACACTGTAATATGAGGTAGACTTAATTATGAGTACCAGAGACAGCACTTAATAACATTGCTATTGTTTCATCTAACTGCATAATGCATAACTCACACTAACTAAGAAAACATAACCATCAATTTTAATCTTAAAGTCCCTTTTATCACGAAAAATTACACATTTGATCATTAGTATTTGCAATGCCACTCCTTACAATAATGACATGCACAGGTAACGTAAGTTATACTTCATAAATATAACGTTACTTTTTTTCACTAGCATATGGGAATGTGTGGATTTCGTACAGGGTAACTTCTGTGTGCCTTGCGTTGTACTTCATTTGATTAATTTGTGAGAAAATCTGCGTGAGAAGCGAGGGTAAGTGCTTTAGGTTAACAGCTAGCTGCTCTATGAAAATCCATGATGCTCACAGCCTATGACGTAGCCTCTTTCATATGACTACAATTTTCCCGGCCATCCGGGTTTAGACTATCGTTTACTATACCGTTATTTTTCACCCAATCCTCTATAACAGCGTCTCAAACGAAGAGGAGAACACTAAGGTATCTTTGTGCCAACAGTTGGAGCTGTACATGTTATAATTAGGCTCTAAATAAACGTACCTTTGCAGCCTTTCCCACTGTGGTTTCTTTACTTTCCGGCTTGTTCAAGATGGCGGCGCAGGAAATCTGACCCGCGGGTCAGAGGTGAGAGGTTAAGGGTTAAAGGTTACGCCGTGGCGCCAGACGGAAGGTTTAGTACCGCTCCGCAAGGCGCTTGGAAACGGCTGTTTTTTCCCGCTAAGAAAAGGTTAGTTCTGCATCTGGTTTTGTCAGGCTGATGACTAAAGATGTGTCGTTCCGTAGAGGTAGAGTTTTGGTAGTTTACGTGTTTTGAACGTTTACAGTTGAGCGATGTTTGTAGAAGTGATCCCAGCTCGTCAGCTGGCCGTCATGCATGACGTTGTAACGTGAGAAAGTGTTGGAGACAGCAGCTGGGGACAGGCTAGCCTGGTGTCCAGTCTATCGTGGCAAGGGCGGGCTCTCTTCGGGGCTGCAGGAGCTCTTCGCCGCCTGACTCAGCTGTAGGTTCCCTGGTAGGTTTTGCGCGACTGGAGTTCAATAATTTAGCCCAAACAAAAACGCTCTAGCTACAGCTGCAGGGAGGCGTAACACTCCTACCGGGCTGCCAGTTGAGCTGGGCGGGGGAAAACTATTAGAGCCCCGAAGAGAACCCGGCTCAACCACGGTAGACTGGATACCAGGCTAGCGACAGGCTAACTATGGTCTAACAGTGATTCACACACAGAAAACCGGTTTGAAATTTGGGGTGGATCGTTCACTTAAGAAATCATGTTGATAATGTTTTTAACTTTTGCCAAGATTGTTATGATTTTGGTAGCGTTCGCGTGTGTGTCAGTCTGTAAACTCAATAATTCAAGAAGGCTGTGGGTAGGTCTTGATTTGGCCTCGAGAATGAGTAGATTTTTGCCCCCCTGGTGACTTCTTATGGTACTGCATCGGAACTTCAGGTTTTGATAGTATCATACCTCATGATCTGGACATGAACTTTGCATGGTAGAAGTTCTTGTAGGTCAGGGAGAAGTGACATAAGGTCGGCCCCCTAGAATCTTGCTCTAGAACTGCAGGGGCGATCTTCGAGGAGGGTAACTCAAGATCTGGATGACAGATCTCATAAGTTTTATTATTATTGTTGTTCAATGATGATGATTGCTCATTTCTTCCTAACTATAGCTTAAATGTGTGTTTGTATGAATTTATTTTTCTCTTTATTTAAAAAGAATGATTGTAATAATGCACTTGAACAGTACATTATACATGTGTACTTCTACAATTGGTATTCCATGAAATCATTGAGCAATTTTATATACCAAGAAAAAGAGCTTAATTATTAACTTTTTTAATATGCCTTGCTAAAATTTTAAGTGCATACTAATTGTTGACATAAATCTAAAATTGAGGCCAGAAAAAATGAATATTAGCATTACTACCTTAATTTGGTCACCTAATTGTTTCAAATATAATTGCCTGTAGCAAGCTAAAACTAAATCAGCATTTTCAATAAATATTGCTGTTCCAAATGTTGTTATACGGATCTCCAAGTGCTGCCTGGCAATTGCAACAACACCCAGACCACACCCAAGTACATGATCAGCTGATATTCAATATCCAGGCAACGTTAATGACTCCAAAGCTGCCGATGGCGCTGAAGTAGAGGGCCTGTGAGCACTTTAGATATGGTCTCCAGCCTGCTTCTAAAGCACTTGAACTTTTCCAGATTTGGATCATCATTCATCATTCTTTGACAAGTTTAAACACACACCTACAAGAAAACGTCCTAAGGCCACAGCAAGTAATTTTTATGGATGCCATCAGTGCGTGCATTAATTTTCTCCTGATTTTGGAAAAAAAAACAAGAAATTTTGTTGCCTTCTGACAGTGGTCATTACATGCTGAAAACGGGCAAAGATGTCTGTTGCCATGCTGGAACATGGAGTCAACAAAAGGCTCTGATTTAATGTTTTGTTTCTTTATACATTGAAGCAGTGATATGTGATGCTGGCTCTGTATATGTGGTGTTCCCACTGAATCAAAACCATTTGTATAATGATTGAGTAAAAATTTCAAATTGTAGGAACCTTGTTTTTTCGGCCCGCCTTGTTTTTTTTCGCCCACTCACATTAGATTTGGAGTCTGCAAAGGATGTCATCCATAAAATTTACTTGCTGTGGCCTAAGTGGTACAGCAAATGTCTTGCCTAGGCCTAGGAAAATTTGGTGTTTCCTGTTTCAGTCCTGAAAGAATTAGGCTCAGTAGGTAAGGATTTTTTTGGCGACGCCTCAGGGGCGGAGCCCTTAGTATAGTACTGCGATTGAATTGCCAGGAATTCTAAATATTCCACGCACGCATTCCCTAGGGAATTCATTTTTGGCAACACCTTGCGGGTGAGGTCTTCCCTCCCAGCTGTTTAGCCGTTTTTTAATGACTTTGGAGCTTTTTCGACAGCTTGGTCAGGATCATTGTTTGGAATTGAACAAGGTCAGCATCTGAAGTCAGATGTTTCAAATGAGATGTCGTGATTGTCTGAATATAAACCAATATGTTACCGCGTTTGGTTGTTGTTTTTTACTAGTAGTTTTCCTTCTCTTTATGAAAAGAATTTTTTTTTGGACATAAACCCAACGGATGAATTCAAGTTCTTTTCAATGTTTCAAAGGAGATGTCGTGATTGTCTGAATATAAACCAATATGTTACCGCGTTTGGTTGTTGTTTTTTTCTAGTAGATTTCCTTCTCTTTATGAAAAAGTATGTGTTTGGACATAAACCCAACGGATGAATTATAAAGTTCTTTTCAATGCAACTTTGTGAGGATAAAGGAAAGACGCAGAGACAAGGCTTTCCGCACACTGGGCACGGGAGACTTTTAAGACGGACTGGCTATGACTATATGATACTGGATACGTTAACCCTTTCAGTCTTAACTGAGTTATCTTTTGCTTCTTGAACTGGCGTCCCTTGTTGTAGAAATCCTGTGTCTTTATACTTAGTATTCTGTATTACCGCATAACAGTGGTACATCACTTCAGCAAAGAATAATACATTTGTTCAAAGAAACAAACATATTTGTAACCGGAGCAATAACAGGGACTACAATAACAGAGAACTGTCTAAGTAATTACAAGGGAACTGTTCGGAGTTTCATCAGGTCTTGCACTATCATGTTCTTACAAGTTAGTTAGAGAGTGCAATTGTACCACTGCTCCCATATACACCGATTGTTCAGCATCTTCATGGTTTTTAAAATGTGTACATTCTCCTCGATTCGATTTGAACCGTCATTGGCGAGGTTTTTTAAATACATATAAAATAGGTCATTACAATATATACACTAAGATACCGTAAAACACAGGCAATGTATCATCGTAGTACAGACGTATGTAAGTCACCCCAGTAATCTCTAACTGGTGTAAGGTTTACTGTGGCTAGCAATGTATTATATAGCCTGCACGTGATGGCTCTGCTACTGATCTGGTTCCTTCCCATGTTGCCTTCTTTCTGTCGACGATGCTACTACTTAATACACATATGATATCAACATGCTTCTTCTACCATCATCAACAATATCGAAACAAAATTTTACACAAAGGAGACTGGAGTCAGTTGTCATGATCAGCTCTGTGACCGGGAGGCTTGAGTCAGCTGTGACCACGGCTTCTGGCATATGTGATTGTCCCGGCTATAGCACTGCAACTGCCGGCTAGAGCTTGCGCACTAGCTAAGGCACATGGTATTGCAACTGTATGAAGAGAAGAAAGGCAGTGTCATTGGTCTGATAAGGTGTGAGGCTTGTTGCTAGTGTCAGGACAAAACAATAGACAGGACTTCACACATTGAAGGTATCTATACATGAAATACAGCTCCTACCATTATTGTATATGATACCTGACAAAACTCCCGTTTAAACGGCTACCCTCTATCCACAGCAAGTAAGTCAACAGTAATATGCCTCTCACCGCGCCTCATAAAGATCTCGGCCAAAACATATCGTGGTGCGAACGTCACAGCAAATGGTAGCGGTTTGAAATGTATTTCTTCAAATCAAGGTGTACATTTCCTAAACAAGTCATCGAAACGTAGAAAACAGTTGAAGACCAGGCTGATATAGAATGTGCGTCAAAAGTACACTTGACATGACATCTGTGAACTGCATAAGTAGCAGTCCTTCCGCGCTTCATAAATTAACTTAGCCAAAACTGGCCGACGTTACCAAACATTCACACCCTGCAGAATTATGGATAAAAGTACGTATGAACTCACCTTTTTATGTCTGTATCCCTGGTTGGGAGAAGGCAAAGGGGCTACGTATCTCCACGCCCGCCGGCCTGGGCAACTGTAGGGAAACAGCGGTGATTAGAATCGTGTCAACTGTCATTATAGGAAAGAAAAATATAGATAAGAAAAGATAAGAAAAAATATCTCAACTTAGCGAACATACGTCACAGGTCCTCCATTACAAAACTAAGAATCAGTTGTCACAAATTACGAATTGAATCAGGAAGACATAACCGCACTCCTCTAGAACAAAGAACCTGTCAATTCTGTAGTTTAGGCCAAATAGAAGATGAAATACATTTCACCATAGATTGCCCCTTGTATAGTAGAGATAGACTCATATTTTTTAGCCATGTATTAAGTATATTTCCCCACTTCAGATATTTGACTAGTAAAGAGAAATTTGTATTCCTTTTAACTTTCGATAAACCTACTCTAAGTGATCTCACAGCCGCATATATCCATACAATCACTACTAAGCGAGATGAAGCCGAAAAGAATAGAAATTAGACATTTATTTACGCTCTTATATGTTCCTTTGTATGTAATGTATATGTTTATGTTCATGTTCTGTACCCATGCGACCTGTACTTAGTTCTGTAGAACACAAATGTACAATAAAGGTCTTCATTATCATCGCGGGAATGTCTGCTAACAACTCGCCCCCTGGCCGTACTGGCTCGACTTTCCACAAACGAATCGAG